TAGTGAATGAGGTAGAATATTGCAATTCATAAAGGTGCGCGTTGTATCCAAAATATAATTACTAGAGAAAGTACCTTGACATGAAGAAAGAGAGTGGTAGTTTTTTAGACCATGAGTGCTTGTGATAGGAGTGTCTGAACTCAAGATTGAAGGTAACAGTTATAATCTGATTTTGTTTCAGATTTTCATTGCACATTAGTATATATATGAGACATCATATAGCAATTAACAAAGTTTGCATATTCAAGAAGTATTGTTATGAGAAAGTTTGATATGTGCATGTGCTACATTTTTTGTACTGTGGTGACTGGACCATTTTGTCAACGTCCTCATCAAAAGCTCGCCGGAACTTTCTAAGGGTGTGTTTGGCAACTCCATAAAACTTGTTTTAAAAGTATAATCTTGGTCGAAAGTCTTGTATCTTGTTTTTAGTTTGGCAAAAATTAGATTCAAGTTGAATTAGTTCTTTCTAGCTCAAAATTTAGCCTCTAAACTAATACTATTTTGAAGTACCTATAGCATTTATATGTTTCTTTCTATTATCTATACTAATTAAGAATGAAGTTAAATCAAACTAAGAACAAGGTTTAACAATAAAAGTTTAGTTTTGATTGCAAGAGAATATTATGTGTGTTTTTCAAATATGAAAGTAATGGGTTTTAACTTTCTACTTTAGGGTAAAATCGGGTTGTTCTTTGAACCATATGTGTCCATGAGGGGTCCATGAGGTGTCCACAGTGAATTCGTGTACGACACGTGTCGGGCACGAATACGGCATCCAAAATGCTATATCCGTGTTACCTAGATTTTGAAATTACCATACACATCCTTAGTCTTAGGTGTGTTTGGCAACCATCACAAAATTGGGTCAAGACTAATCCTTACTCTCTTTTAAACAAAACTGATTTTGTTTTAGGCCAAGGGGAAGGTGGTCTAGAGCAAAACGTGTTTAAAGGCCAAATTGAGCCTTAGAAAAACTAGGTCAATTTTGGCTTAAGTTTTACGCAAACATGTTTTCTTCTCAGAACGAGCCTGGGTTTGAACCTAGCCCCATTCTGAAGAATTTTCCAAATGCACTTTTAAAATTCAGTTTTTGGCTGAAGAGAAACTGGACTGTGATAACCAAGTTTCCTGTCAAAAGCTAAGCTATTTTATTAGTTGTTGTCGCTGCAGTATCTAACTATAGGTTTGGTTTTGATTTGAGATTCCTGATCAGGGTTTGTCCCAAAAAATGGCAGCAGAAGGCAATTATAAAGACGATTTCTTATGAATTCTGTTGATTTTGAAGAAAAAGATAAAACTATTCTAAATGTTAATTTTTGAAGTATGGTTCTTTCAATATTGATATGCTTGTACCAGTAAGTTCACTATAGATAATTTGGTAGATTTTCTTAGATTTTGATAGTTCTCATAATACAGAACACAGACGTATATACCATCACATTATGTTAGATATTCATCATTTTGGTTTTTCTTACCTCTTATTTGTATCCGTATTTGATATTGATGCATAGTATAAAACATATTTATATCGATATCCATGATTAATGTCATATCCGATCTATATTTGATCTGCTTGATCCTCTACCCGGACTCGATTCAGATCAATAATCCAATCAAATACTTGCTGGTCTCATTCGGATCCATTACTTGAGATATCTGTATATGTTAATCTCCACTTGTCAAATAAAAAAAGTTGGATTTTTATGTCAATGGTTATTTGCTCAATTCAAGTATATATGCAATATATATTCAAGTATATATTGCTGGTCTCAATTCTTTTTTTTTTTTTTTTTTTTTTTTTTTTTTTTTTTCCCCCCCCCTTCTTTTTTTTTTTTTTTTTTTTTTTTTGTTTTTTCCCCCTCCCTTCTCTCTCCTTTTGTGCCCCTACAGTTTCTCCTCAGTCAAACTATTCTACTAGATCCTGTCTAATCTGTACTCACCAGCAAGTTCAAGATTCCTAGCAGGAACAGTAACTGCAGGGACAATTTAATTATGAACTTTTTCCATATTATAAAGTTAATACATTCAACAGGGTTGCAGTATTTGATTCACACTGAGTTGTCTATGGTAATCGTTATAATCTTCAACACCAAAAGTTGTTAATATTTAATGTTAGTTTGATATACACCATTAGTTCACAAACATGTCACTTGTTCAAATTGAATATATACATGGTAGCAAATGGATCATGTCTTTGTTGATCTATGAACTAGTCAGACTTAGACCAGATATCGTATCATAGTTGTTCTACCCCTAAAAAATACTAAATATTAATCTCCCCAGGGCAATCTCCATGTGTCTTACACTATACATAACACATCTAATTCAAGACAAAGACAATCTCCACCCAACTTGGCTCACTGTTCTGCCGACATCTCACGTATCCAAATCATAAGGTGGTACTTGTCGTCCAACCTGGCCAATCGCTCGTGCGAATAACTCTCGCTTGGCCTATTGTATCAAACCGTCAACAGGTACAGTCGATCATCAACTGGACGACTAAAAGAAACGGTAGTTTTTGTTGGAAATTAAGGTTAAATCTGGAATTAAACAGTGAAGGATGATGTGCTGTTATTTAAAACTTTTTCAATTAACTGCTATGCGTTTGTGAAACGATGTGCTTAAAACAATATTTGGCCTACTCCAGTGCAAGGATCTCAATGCCAAACTGCTTTCAGGAACAACAGTACAGTACTCTGGTGTGTACCAACCCAGTACTGTCAAGATCTCCTCGATCTATAAGACCTTTCGGTCAGTACTCTGGTGTGTACCAACCCAGTACTGTCAAGATCTCCTCGATCTATAAGACCTTTCGGTCAAGGCAAAAGATCTCCTCGATCTCAAAACCTTTCGGTTTCAGAGTTCCCGCGGGCACAGTTTCTGCAGCAGTAGCACAACAACAGCAACAACAACGTCGATCCAACGTTCGTTTTCCAAGCTCGCGTGTGTATACCGACGTTCGTATTCTATACTGATGTTTGTATTCCACGCTCACGAGAGAGTTTCCAGCAGCCACCAAGAGCCGCCCAAGGGCGCTATTTATAGGCCTCTAAGGCCAGCTCAAGAGTCACTAGAATTTAATATGACTGTTACAATTCTTAATGACAATTAAGATTGTAACATCAATGCATTAAATTGCTCTTAATATTATTGTAACTGTTGCATGTAGTAACTACTGAATAAGAGGCAATCAATGAAAGCGTTGCTACGAAATACGAGGGTCACGTCTCAGTAAATCAGACGAACCTCGTTTGACAAACGAACGTCGTCAAACAGGCGAACCTCGTATGACAGACGAACCTCATCGAACGAGCGAACATAGTCAAACAGGCGAACCTCGTATGACATATGAACCTCGTCTATCGAGCTATTCTCGTCAAACAGGCGAACCTTGTATAACAGACGAACCTCGTCAAACAAGTGAACCTCGTATGACAGACAAACCTCGTCGAATGTGCGCCTAACAAAACGCCACTTAGCGCCTCAGCCCGATTAGTCTCGATCCCCGGCCCATTGGCCCACGACCCACGACCCACTAGAACTTATGAGGGATTAATTCAAATAAAATACTTTTTGGCTTGCCATTGACAAGCCTCGAACAATAAACCTTTTGAAATACCACAACATAAACTTTTCACTGGGCTACTAAGTATTTATGAAAAGTACTTGTAGTTAATATAAATATATAGTTTAAAAACTCATTTTGGAAAGCAGTTTTGACCAAAAAATCCAACATTTTTTTCCAACCCCGTACCGACAGCCGTCTGTCCTTGCATTAACTACTTTGATAAAGTCATCATTTCTCTAGCTTCATTGCCTTTATGACTCATCGGGTCCAGTCAGTACTGAGCACCTGTTGTCATTCCCATAATAAATGACTAGGTGACTCACATCCTTCAATAATCGACACGTAGCACATGTCTGCCAACTCAGCTGCCTAGCTGGACTCGGCCAAGTTACATTCTTGCCCCTCAGATCCACTATAAAAAGAATAGGAACTGCATGAGGTAAAGCTCTCTGATCTTTTTTGGACAAAACTGATAACTAACTATATTTCCCCACTCAAAGTCATCTATTGCTTGATCGTCGGGGGAACAATCAGAAAACCCAACTCAGGCCACTTACGAGTTCTTTCTTATGTAGGGAAGAACAGAGAGCCCCAAAGCCATACATCAGAAGAAGTTAGAGGACCTTAATCACTCCAGAACCTGCAAATTATTCCCTATTTGATAACTAACATCAACAATAGCACTATAACAAAAGTTGTATGTATCCACGCTTCTTTTATGACACATATAAAAGTGTCACTTTATGTACAAAGGATTAAACAGTAGTGACACAAATAAAAAGTATAACAAATTAAGACATATATTCGTGTCATTAGATATACAATTAAATATAATTAAAAAAACTAATAGTCCAGTATGGATTGTGAGAGGATCTATTAATGTGCTTAAATAATAAGTATTAGATTTTAATTATGATGATTAAATATTTATGATAGTGTATAAGCTAAAATACTTCATAGTTAAGTATGCTTTTGTAAGAGTAATCCTATATTGGGTGGTTTTCTGTGAAGTAATAGTGTTGAATGATAATACTCTTTATAATTTTATGTCTAGACACAACCATGTATCGTCATTCTTGATACATTTATGCATCATGAATTTTATAACACGTATATGTATCACCACTCTCGACATATATATACGCCGTGAGTTATTCTTACATATGTAGAAAGACGATCTCCGTACATCTTCTAACCACACTTTTAATATGTGTCGCGTTCTATTTATGCAACATAAAAATGTCCAGCAAAGACAAAAAATATATCATAATTTATAACTTTTGTTACACTGTAGACTCTTATTCCGAGTAATCAGATCCGAACATACAAGATTCATGCTCCAAAGGTTAACGGGTCAGGTCAAGTGTAATGTTGGTCAAATTGACCCGTTAGAAGCCTGGAATTGTCAACAGCGTGCGTTCCAAGGCTGCAAATATTTTGTGATGGATGATGTCATCTTCCTAATTATATATGCATTTATAGCATCAACTGGCTGGTTGCCTCTTATTATTACTGCCAAAATGCTATTGTCTTGCAAAGCCTATCACGCACGCAACACGTAAGAGAGAGAAACAAGGGGAGTGGGACCCACAGCTGATCTTTTTTTGGGTCCCACCCCCTGTTTCTCTCTCTTATGCGTTGCGTGCGTAATGGGCTTTGCGAGACAAATAGCAGCGTTCTTATTATGGGTACAAGACAGGAGGTTTTTTATCTTTGTTTCAGAAAGGGCTTTTTCGGGAACAGATTACAGTAAAAATTTATTTTGACAAGGGACCTTTGTATTTTTTTTTATTTATTTTATTTATTTATTTTGTTACCCTGATGTATCTCCACTCTTTTCATTGAATATTATATGTCCATTTTGTATCCTAATAAGTTGGTGAAAAGATGGAGGTATCTTTCGGTAGTCTAGTTTCCAGTCTAAAATTTAATGTGCAAAGGACAAATAGATCGCTCTATAATCATAAACAAAGAAACGTTTTCTGTGTCCGCTAGGGGTTGCAATTTTTAGCTTTTTAGATTAATCAGTCAACTACTTTCCTTGCCCGTGCTCTTTTTTCCTCATGTGCAGTCAAATAGCACATGAAGAGTAGGAGAGCATCGACAATTTTTTTTGTTAGTTATTAGAGGGACATTCATTAATTATTGTGAATGTGATTAGAGTACATAAAGCCCTCAAGTTCTCATAATCTCTCATATCTATTAATTATCAGTTTCACATACTCTTATATACATCAAGTGAGAAACATGGAGGAATATGAGTACATTAACACCGAACTTGGCCTTGCAACTCAAGGGAACTTCATTTACAACAAAAACTCCAAATTTCCAACTTCAACGAAACTCGAAGAGGAGGAGGAGGAGGAGGAGGAGGAGGAGAGACCAAGGAAGAAACTTCGGTTATCAAAAGACCAATATGCCTGTCTTGAAGATATCTACAGAGCTACAACATTCTCACATCAGTAACCTATATACTCTCTATATTCTATAATATTAGTAATTAATCTACTTACTTATTTGCTTTCATATTATAATCATATTCTTGACTGAAATTGATCGCACTTCTGAAAGCATAGAACAGAAGCAGAGAGGTTGCTGAGAAGCTAAATCTTCGGCCGCATCAAGGTGGATGTTTTCGTTTCAGACAAACGATCAAAGGTTAATGCAATTCTGAATTCTCTCCATGCACATATATATATATATATATATATATAACTATATAATATAGTTATACAATGGAATATGTGCATTTTCGATCGTGCATGTGTTCATCAGTTGATGTATATAGTTATGAGTTTGCATAGCAATTGTTGCAGGACGAAGATTAATCAGATGAAGATGGAGTGTGACTATTTGAAGGAGGTATGTGACAGCTTAAGCAATGAGAACCAGAGGCTGCAGAGACAGTTGTTCGAGCTAAGGAGATGGGTGAAGCCCGAGCCAACTCCCCAAGCGAACTAAACCTAGTTACATGTTTTCTTGGAGACGCAATTCGAAAATCTTACCGCCATTTGGTTACCTTGAGATCTTTGAGTATTTGGACATCGCGACTTTAGTACATCATATTGATAAACACAAGTTGTCCCGGCAATTGAGTGACACGTGAGTGTCAATCGATCTCTTCTTGTTTTTCATTTACATTTACATGTGTATGTTAACCTCATGGTATAAACATAAAAATTTGCCATGTTTCTTTGTTTGGAATCAAATAACAAGGTGTTTATGGATGGATAGTTTCATTTTGAGATAAAAACTAATGTATTTTCTTAATCCTTGAAATTCTCTTGGTTCTCAAGTAGAATAATTTAAGTCCGCAGAGGGTATAATCATGTTTCATGGCGTAGCCATAGTTATATTTACAATAAGTTTAGATTCGCAAATTGCTTGAACTTTATTTGCACTTCATGCTTCTCAACTAAAGGATAATCAAACATTCATTGTGAAATTTAAAAGTGATACAAAAAAAATGTTAAATTAACTTTTATACGAGTCTTCGTAGCCAACCCAGTAGTTATGATTAAGTGGATTAATCAATAGAAATGTTTATCAGGTTATCGACTATGAACTATCCACTCTAAGGGGCTGTTTGTTTCACCATTTTTATGGAAAATGAATAGGATTTGGGTTTGACGATGGCAAAATTGTAAATAAAGTATTCTTTATGAATCCTATTCTTGAGTTTGATTCCCCAAAAATTTATAGATTTCGGAATCTATAAAGTTAAAAAAGTATGCTGATTTTATAGAAACTTAAATCCTAATGATTTGGGCGGATTTAGGGTAGAAAGCTGACACATTTGTACTATTCTCCCTCTCTCTTTTTTTGGGATTTCGTTTCTTCACAAACCCTATATTATTATGAGACCAAATCATATTCTCATTTCAAACCAAACTAAAGAATAGGAATTGGAAGGTTTCTAAAGTTAAACAAACATAGAAATGAAATAAAAAGATTTCATGACAACATAAAATTGTCTTAAAATTTTTTATGGATTAGCTAGGAATCCATAAAAAATATGGGATTCTTAATCCTATTCTTACCCACTATTGAACCAAATACCCCCTAAACCTACAACAAACAAGATATAATTTAAACATTCATTCATTTCTTAAAAAAGCAACATTATATAAATATGAAGATTCGGAGTTAAATTCAGGTTCTGCTCGTTACAGGGCTGTTACCAAAAGAAGAATTTTTCTCTTTTTTTTTTTGTATTCCAATCAAATTATCATTTGATAAACAATTACACATGTGATGATGACAAGCGGGCAACAAGCTGTAACGCTAATCCTTTCTGAATTACAAAACCCAACCTACGAAACACATACTCAGCGGACCCTGCTATCGCCACATTCTTATTCATGAATTTCTGTACCCTCCTGAGGAACTCCATCGCATCAGCTGCAAGGAAACCAAACGTATCGAAAGCGAACGGGATGAAGTTGTGATGGTTGTCCTTGCAAGCTTGATCATGTTTGCTCACCTTTGCCTCTGGTGCTCTATCCGCTGCATGCCCAATCTTCAACTCTACATTACCAAACCCACAAACAGAGACACCCCTGTGAGATCAACACAAGCGTGCTTCCCTCTGTTCCAATTGTAGACAAGAACGTCTGACGGCCTAAGAGTAGATCTAGCCTCTCCAGAAGGAGTAAGGAAGTTGATTGGTGCTTCCTTCTTTGATGGGATCCCTGCTCTTTGGAGGATATCATACAAGATATCTCTGACTAAGTCGTTCCTGTACTTGAACCCCGGCTGCTTCTGACAGTGGATGACATGCTCTCCAAAAGCATCCATCTCCGTTCTACGACAAACTGAGCACACTGTCCCCTCCACGAACAAAGGAACCAACAACCTGTACCTGAGGATGGCCTGGTATTCCCCCGGAGTCATACGCTGCCCCAATCCCTCAATAGGCGTGACCAACAAGAAATCATGAGCGTGTTTTGCCCGCAGGCACTCAACAATAGCAACCCGCTTCTCTAAAAGGTCAAACTCCGTCGATAGATCTCTATAAATGTCACCATAAAAGATGTCTGTCAAGTAATGCATTGGTTTTAGGGGGACAGACCCTTTAGTGGTGATTTGAAGAAGATCAACCTCAGGTAGCTTGGCTTGTAGAAAGGCCCAGGCAGAAGTAAAATGCTCACCTAAAGAAACCTCACCACAACCACTCAAAATATGGTCTTGGAGTTCAATGGAGTGAATCCGAGAGGCCACAAAAAAAAACTATATGGCATCGGCCGCTGCATAGACCCCCAACCCGCCCGCCTTGATAGGTAAAGAGGCCAGCCTCCATTGTAGATCCCCGAAGCCTGGGCATTCGGATGTGACAATGCTCTAGACTGACCTCCGAAGCGCAATATCAAACTGAGTCGCCACCTGAGCAAAGAGTTGTGGCGGGCAAGTCCTCAAGGCGAAATACAACTTGGACAAACCTGCACAAACCCTCAAAAGGACGAGCTCGCATTGTGGATCCCTAAGTTGATCCAACGCTTCCACTAACCGAGTCGTCTTTGCCACCCTCTTCGCTGCTAACCCACCAACAAACCCCCTCATCCATGCTAACTGCTCCACCTAAAAGCCTTACTTCATCGCGAGGCCGACTGATATCCGAGGGAAAAAGCCCCTCCAGGAAACTCCTAGGATCCGGTGAGGGCCAGAAAATTTCAGAATAATTCAGTTTCTCTTCTCATTGATGAAGTTAAGTTTTGGATGAGTTTTTTCATTTCCTGTAGTTGGGACTTTGTGCCCAGAGTTTGTAATCAGGCTGCTCATTGTATTGCTAGAAGGGCACTATCGCTACTCTTCTCTGTTTTGAAAGGTTTAATGAGGCTGCTTTACTCCTCTTCTCAGTTGTAAGCTTTCCTGAATGAATATATTCAATCCTCTTTGATCAAAAAAAATATCAGTTTCTCTTTATAAAACCAAAAAAGGGAAAAATGTTTCTATGCCCAAAAAAAAAATTGGATGTGAGTAGCCTGTATTTTTTTGGTGTGACAAAGCCCCCAAAACTCAACTTAATAATGATTCAGCCCTTTTTTTCATTTCCAAGACAACTTTAAGAGAAAAGTTGAGGCGATAAGACCAAAATACCCTTTTTTACCCGTTCCCCCCGATACTGTCTGCCTTCTCTCTCTTCTCTCTCTCTCTCTATCTTCTTCACCGCAAACCTCCATTAGCTTGCGAACCCATTTTCAAAACCCTAGTTTCACTCAAGCGGCTAGGAAATCTATTTTGAAAATGCCCCAAAAAATTTAAGTAAAATGGCTAAGAACCGTAAGCGTAGCAAGTATGAAGTGGACAACACTCAAACGGAACGGGGCGTTCGTCACCGGCGTCGGTCGGCACGGTTGGCGCAGGAGGAAATGCCAAACTTATGTTTATCGGCCTCCGCCTCTGCCTTGATATCGCCCGCCGGCAATTCTGCTCCGACATCCTCTGAGGATGAGGAGAGTAACAAGGCGACGGAAACCCTATTGAGTATGAAAAGTCTGGATATTCGAGAAAGCAAGAGGAGACGCTCGCTGGAGGATGTGTCCATCTCAAAGAAGAAGTAAGTTCTCAAGCAATTGAGGGTTTATGAATTTAATTAGTTTAAATGAGTGATTTTGATTTTAATTAAGGTTTATGGGTTCTTTTTTTGAATAAAATGGTGGTGAGAGACTGGTTATTGTAGTGTAGAACCAGTTTCGTAATTTTGGAGTAAGATCTGAACAATACGAAGTGTTATCAGTTTGGAACAAATGCATGTAAATAATTCTCATTTGTTGATAGCTAGTTGCAATGCATGTCAATAAATCTTGGTTGTTGTTAACGTTTATGCATAAGTGTCAAGTATTAGCTATTCATGTTAATAAAACGAAATTTTGACTCAGATAATGCCTTTACGGTTAATTGTTACCTACTTTGGAGTTGAACGACTTGTTAAGAGTAAATAGTTGTTTATGCAGGAAAGCTACAGCCGAAGGTGATATACGGCCTAGTGCCTGTCTTGGATCATATTGTACTTTCATGCAAAGACTTCAACCAAAACTGAAGCAGTGGCATTGGGATGCCTACAAGGGCAGTAACTTTAAGCACTATGTATTCTTCGGACCTCCAGCACGTGATCGACGGGCACTAGAGCATGTGCTCAGCCATTATGTTGGCGAAACTGATGAATTCTCTTTTCCTGATCACATAAGCGGGACTATATTTTCAGTCCAATTTGATGAAGAGTGGGTGCAAACTCATACGGGCTTCCCTATTGATGGGGAATTGATCTACGGGAATAGAGACCCTCACAACCGGCTTTGGAGGGAATATTTTGAAGAGAAGAAAGAAATGCTAAAGGCAAAGTCAAAGGCGAAGGCCAAGGCCTCACAAGAAGCTGGTAGCATGAGGAGATATGTTGAGGAGTTACTGGAAACACTGGTTGAGTCTTCTGATAATAAGGACATTGAGGATTTTGTGCTGCTTCAGATCTTGTACCAATGTGCAATGATTTGGTGCCCCAACAGCTCACAAGGCATTCCAAGACAGTTGTTTCAATATGTAGATAGTATTGAGAGAGTGAAGAACATTGCGTGGGGTAAATTTATTTTTGATGAGACGAAGAGAGGCATTCAAATTGTCGTTGAAGGGTTGAGGAAGCCAGGGGTTACATACGTACCTGGATGCATGCCGATCATCCCTGTAAGTTGCATGACCAACTGGTCTGACATTTGTTTTAGTTAACATTAGTCTTGGTAACAGGCATTAGAAAACATGTACAATATTAAATGTTTACAGAATATGGTTAAAATTAACATGTTAACATGAACTTTAACATATAAAAATTAAAGTTAACATTAATAGGTGAAAGTTAACATGTACCCATTAATGTTAACATGTTTTGGTGAAAGGTAGCTATTTAGAGTGTAGTTGAAGAATGAGTTCTGAAAGTTAACTATTTTGATATTCGTTCCTTCGATTCTGAC